GTTGTTGTGGTAGTTGTGGTGGTGGTTGTGGATGTTGTTGTGGTAGTTGTGGTGGTGGTTGTGGATGTTGTTGTGGTAGTTGTGGTGGTGGTTGTAGGTGTCGTTGTGGTGGTTGTAGTAGAAGTATTGGTAGTGGTCATAGGATAACTAGTTGTTAAAAGTGCAGTTGAAGAAATCATTAATGGTTCCGTCGTGGCTACTACTTCAGTAATAGGCAGAAGTGCATCAACACTGGTGGCTGGATAAATACTTGTTTCCTCATGAATTGACGTCAAACTCTTCCACCGCTGTTGCCAATAATCTAAAACAAGAACAGAAATGATTGCGAAAAATGAACTCTTCATTAAATAATTTCTTTTCGTAAACTTGAAAAGAGTTTCTCGATTCTCTTAAGTGTAAGAGCTAAGTAATAGGGATAGCAGTTTAATCATTTATATATGGGTAATATTTCACTTGAGTTACAATATCTCTGAAAGTTTAACTCATTGAATACGGTTTTAAAGATCAAATTTAAACATACCCTTCTGATCAGGACATACAAGACATGGACAAATAGGATCATTGTTTTCAATCATTTCAGACTCTTCACAATTGCTTGATTCAGCGATGACGTCACAACGGCTATCACATACAAAAGCTTGATCACTTTCACATCGACATAAATCACAAACATTAGTAGGAGATGTATATTCTTTGTTGCTAACAGGAATAACTAAATATTTAGCAATAAATTCATATTTTCTTTTTAATATCAATAAAATTAGATCACATACTTCGACCATCATCTGACACACATCCAACTTCAGCTTGTCGTAATTGAACTAGTAAGAAAAAAAAATGGAATACCAATTAATTATACAAACAATTGTCAAGCAAACTTACAATCATGTGTTTGTCCTGTTATAATAGAAAAGCAATACAGTAACAAGAAATGATATTGAAAGTGAAACATTTCAAATTTCAAATCTATTTACAATGAATATTTAGAATAAGACTTATCATGAATCTAAAACAGTATAAAATTATTTTAAAAAAATAATAAATAGATATTGACTTTGAAAGATATTTATCCACCTAATTAGATAAATATATTACTCGAAAACGTATTCAGATATGAACAGTATTTTTTCGCTAATGTTTTGAAAAAAGAATTTACAAGGAAGAAGCATATATTGAAGAGATACTATGCAATAATCAAAATAAACTGAAGATTTCATGGTTTATTAGTGTTGATAACTAAACAACTATTATAATAATAGTGATCGATACAAATAATCATTGCAGTTCTTGAGTTTATTTTGTCGAATATTTACTTAGGTTAAAAATGGAAAACATTTTTGAGTAAAACAAAAAAAACGACAAACTTTAGGTTTATTTTCATTATGTCTATTATCTGAGTTATGTAATATGATATCCTAATTATTAGCCTTGAAAAAAATTCTTCAACAAAATACTATAAACAAATCTTTTCTTCTTCCAATAAACGAAATCTGACGTATTATTTCAATAGACATATATGTATTCTTTTATACCTTAATCCATGAAAACTCGAGTTGAATAACCCAAACAATAATAATAAGTTTCAATTACATTACCAGAGAACTTCCCCATCATATTTTCTGAAATATGTCTCTCAATCATATCTTTCATCAGAATATATGACATGCAACAGACAATAATTTATTTATCCTACAATGTGTCGACAATGGCAATTGTTTCATATCTTTCTTTTTTTTTGTGTGTATCTTATTGCTCTTTTAACGTTCTTACACATCTTTTTTTCTGTATTGTAATGTTATATCAAGTTATCTGACAGATTGATATATGGATTGACTGTAATTAGATGTGTTTGTACCTAAGAGGAAAAAAAAATGATCCTCAACATTTTTCTACAGAAAATTATTTCGTCAATTAAAATTATCATAATATTGAAATTAATATTAACAAAAAACACAAAACCTTAAATTTCTTTACGAAATCAATATTGACCTTGATATAGCCAATAGAAATGAAGATAGAAACCAATAGACTTAATTAACTTTAGTCTCCTGAGAATAATATGCAAAAAACATTGATTTAATTAAACTCTAATCAACACTATTGTTTAATTTTTTTTTTTCTTTTATTGACAACACAATTAAGATTTTACATATATTCGCCTCTTCAAATATATTCAGTGTTGCACCAAGGACATTCAATGGCATTAGAAAAGAAAGACAGAAAATATAAATTCTATATTTTCTAATGTCTAAGTGTTTAAGTCTTATTAAAGAAAAATAAATGACACTTAGAGATAGTGTGTTACTATTATATCACGAAAGTTGACAACTTGTGCGTGACAATATTATCAAGGATCAATTGTCTGGTAACTTTTTTTGTTTTGCTAGAATTTCACTTTAGTATATATACATCAGTTATTTGAGAATCGTAAAATAAAGAAAAGACAATGATCAATATTCTTAAGCGATACTTTCGACGTCGTGATTCTTATAATCCATTTAATGATGATATTGCAAAAAATTACAAAAGCCGACTTGATCTTATACGTTTAAGTGCTGTCGTATGTGGTATTGAATTTTGTTATGCAGCTGAAACTGCTTTTGTTTCACCTATACTTCTTCAACTTGGCTTACCTGTCATATTTATGACTTGGACATGGTGTTTGCCACCATTGATTGGATTCTTTCTTGTGCCGGCACTTGGTTCACTCAGTGATAAATGTTATACATGTATTGGACGACGACGTCCATTTATTTTACTCTATTCAACTGGAATTCTTTTCGGTCTTGTATTAGTCGCTAATGGTAAAAAAAAAACTAAATTTCTTTTGATTCAAAGAAAAAGAAAAAAAAACATCAACTCTTTTGTTAATAATTAGGTCAGCCTATTGGATATTGGTTTGGTGATTCAAGGAATATTTTTTTCAATACTACTGAATTATTCAATCAAACAAATGTTGAAAATGATCAAATATCTAATCCATTCTTAACACATAAATTTGGTACAATAATAACTGTTCTTGGTGTTCTTCTACTTGATCTTGATTGTGATGCATGTCAAAGTCCAAGTCGTGCCTATTTACTTGATGTTACAAATCCAAATCAACATTCTTTAGGTCTTACAACATTTACAACAATGGCTGGTCTCGGAGGTTGTTTAGGCTATTTTTTTGGTGGTATTCCATGGGAAGATACATTTTTAACTAAAATATTTGGTGATCATATACATGTTGTATTTACATTTGTTTGGATTATTTATATTATTTGTATGATATTCACATTAACAGCAGCAACCGAACCAATTAATGTTGCAATAATAATGCCAAATCTAAATCGATCATCATCACATCAATATCTTGTATCAACTTATTCAATACATAGTATAAATGATGATGATGATATTCATCAATATGAACCAAATTCAATCATAGAACGAGAACAATATGATTCAATATCAGTTGTTAATTTAAAAGTCTCATATTTCGATTATCTTCGATCAATTATTTATATGCCTGTATCATTAAGATGGCTTTGTTTAACAAATTTTTTTTGTTGGATGGCACTTGTTTCTTATTCATTATTTTTTACAGATTTCGTTGGACAGGCTGTTTTTGGTAATTATAAAAATCATGAAAATTTCAAATTAAAAAGCTTTTTATTTTAGGTGGAAATCCAAAATTGGATCCTGAACATCCATTAAGATTATTATATAATGATGGAGTTCGATTTGGTTCATGGGGAATGTCAATATATTCAATATCATGTTCGATTTATTCATTTAATATTCAAGCATTGAATAATTATTTTGGTATATTTTTTAATTTTATGAAAAGGATTCCACTGAATTTAGTGACTTATTTTGAATCAGGATATTATATATTTAGTATTGTATAACAATATACAGCGCATCAAATGGTATTATACTAAGTCAAACTTTCCTCAAATTTTGATACGCTGAGATTTTTTATACTGCTTATAATTCTTCAGGAGTATAGGTGATACTCACAGACATTAAGATATCTAAAATTTTCTAAGATAAATTTATACATATTTTCTTACAAATCAGTTTGATACAGTTATAGGCACTCTTGCACTGTGTATAATCTATAGTTTTTATTGTCGCTCTTTTCATACTTAAGAATGGTCTTTTTTTTTCAATGTAGGCCATTTCTTGACTCTATGATATTCCATTGGGTTCAACTCTGCGCTACAGAATAAATAAGTACTAATGTGAAATTTTCTCAAAGATTGGACACTATCGAGCTCTTATGTTTCATGAATAAGATGTTTTGAAATACTGAGGACTCATAGTCAACTTGCAAGCTTGCTCTTTGGAAAAGTCTTCTTTCTTATCTCAAGGAACCGATAGATTACCAATATTTCAACGAGACTCAATGATTTTATTAAAAATTTCTATTTTCAAATAATCAGCATGACATCCCGGATGAGCAGATATAAATAACTCCTTAATAAATGGAAAAACAATTTTTTGACTCTT